TTGTAAACCCCAATTAACGCAGAGAGGCGGGTAACGGCCGCGCAGTCAGGAAGGATTTATCTGGGGAGTCAGAGGAGACACTCCGTGGCGGAGTTACGGCAGAGAGCAGAGCGCCTGCATTCAAGGCCACAGGCTGGACGGTGGGGTTTGTCCTCGGCCACGTGCTTGGAAAGGCCAGAAAAACGCTGTTTTTCTCCCCGGTAGCAATTAAGCCCCCTTGCCTTCCTCCTGCCGGAGAGCGTAACTTTGCTGAGAAGGGCAAGCGATAAGATCTGTGCAGCGAAGGCAAACACTTAATCTGCTTCAGAAGAGGCTGAAGGAGCGTTTATGGTGATTTTTTAATAGCTGCTTGGATAAACAAGCACGATAACCCACAGCAGACTTCCAGCAGATGATTAATGCTCCAGTAGCAGTCGTGCTCGCTCGCCTCAGGGCCGAGATTGTTTTCTATTATTAAAGAAGGAAAAAAAAATGAAAAAGGGAGGAAAAATAATGGACTTTTTGCCACATTTTATGGGCTGATAGGTGCAGAGAGAACAGGCTGGCCTCTTCCCGTTCCCAACGCTGGTGCTGATGACGTTGGTCCTGTGCCTCAGTCCTTGTTGGCTGTTGGGGAAGACGGGATTAATGGATGAGGAATGAGGGACGAGGGACAAGGGATTGAGGGACTGAGGGATGAATTATGAGAGATGAAGGATGGGGATGAGGGACTGAGGAATGAGGGATGAAGGATGAGGGACTGAGGGATGAGGGATACGGTCCATCGAGGCTCTCACGTCTTGCCCACGGTGCTCCTTGCCCGCCAGCAGCCCAGCACTGAGCACTTCTGCATTGGTGGCCAGGCTCCCTGCATCTGGGAGATGTCCCAGATGAGACATCTGGGATGAGACATCCCTGCATGTCTCCCAGGCCCAGGGACAACCTGTTGCGTTGTCCCAGGTCACCTTGCCCACTCAAATCCCTCTGAGTCGGGGCTTTTCCCTCCCTAGAAGTGCTGCTGACACCATGAAAGTGGAGCATGAGGACGCGCTAACTTTGGCCACTGTCCTGGAAATGCAGCCCAGCCCTGGTGGCATTGGAGCCTGTGGGAGGGCAAGGTTCGATCTGAGTCTGGGGTGTAGTTCTTGGATTAATTTAGCGTAATTTATTACTGTTGTTACTTTGCACTGGCCACAGTACTTAGCCTAATGGCTCGTAATTATTTTAGCAATTGCAGGTCTGAAATTAACTGCAAACAGCAAGGTTGCTTGGGTTGCGTCACTTTTTTTAAGGCTCAGAAAAGAGCTGTTTGGATGAAAAATGAGGAGCAGAGGCATGTTTTCCCTCTCCCTTACGGCAACGTCACAGCAGCTGGGAAATCAGCTTAGTGAATTATGTGCTATGATAATTGATTGAATTCATCAGTAAATAAAGCAGGATCTTTTCAACTCGGGGTCTGGAGCAGGAGGACCAGTTCTTCACGTGGGGAATTTTTTTATCGGTTGGTGCAGGAGTCGTCCTGCCCATAAAACCGCGGCCATCAGGAGAAATAATGTGTGATGGCACATATCCCAAAAGGCCGTCGCTGGGGAGAAGGGACTGGCCAGTGACCCGTGCCCAGCGAGGATGGGGAAGGCAAGACGTCGTGCTCAGAAAAAGGAGGGGATGAAGGACCTGAGCTGCCCCC